AGGTTATGTTTACTTGGGCCTCATCAGGATAAGACCAAACCCCCAAGCCCTGGTTGAGTTGGTTTAGGGTTTTGGCTTGAAGAAAGGCCCAAGTTGACCACTCATGGAGAGAGTATGCACTGGGTTAAATTCGTGGGACTTTTCGTTCTCTACGCTTAAACAACATTTTTTGGTCCCCTCTGTCATGGGGGTGAAATCACCGGTGCAAACATGAGGTTAGAATGATCCCTCATCAGGATAAGACCAAACCCCCAAGCCCTGGTTGGGTTGGTTTAGGGTTTTGGCTTGACGAGAGGCCCAAGTTGACCCCTCATGAGGAGAGTATGCATTGGGTTAAATTCGTGGGACTTTCCGTTCTCTACGCTTAAACAACATTTTTTTCTCCCATCTGTCATGGGGGTGAAATCACCGGCGCAAACGTGAGGTTAGAATGATTCTGACATTTGGATTTGTGCAAGAAACGAAAACAATAGGTTTTTCTCATAAGATTCGAGGAGGAAACACAAAGGCTCCTAATCCTATGTGATTTCCTATAGTAAATCAAAATCTTAGCCTAATTTCTCTAATATCCAGACTTAGGGGGCTCTAGGAATGAAAATCACAAGGGATTAATGAATTTTACCTTCGTGAAGGTTAACCAAAGCATTTCTTCTCGTAGGAAGAAGCTCTCCTTATTGGAGAGAGTGACGACACGACCAGATTTGCCTTCTCCAAAGCTGTGAGGATGCTTTCCTCGTCAATTAATCGACATATCACCGAAGATGAGAAGAAGCTCTCCTTATTGGAGAGAGTGACGACACGACTAGATTTGCCTTCTCCAAAGCTGTGAGGAAGCTTTCCTCGTCAACTAATCGACATATCACCGAAGATGAGAAAGATGATGGGATTCCTTCCTTTAAGTGGTGATGAAGCTCTCCTCACTGGAGAGAATGAGGAATTTGCTGGAGCTTACCTTCCCCAAAGCAATGAAGAAGCTTTTGTTGGCCCACCAGAATGTCACCAGAGACAAGGAAGACGACCAGAAAAATGGAAGGAAAGATGGATAAAATAGAGAAGAACATCTTGCCTTGGCTTTTCCTTGAGAAAGAAGATGAATCCCTCAAGAAATCTCCTTGGAAGCTCCTTGAAACCTTCACTCGATCCGTGCTCTCCTCCTTAACAAATGACAACTGATTGATTGCAAATTGGTCAGCCTCCCTTGGTTAATTATTGCCCTAGGGAAGGAACTGAGGATCACAAGCCACTTCCTTCATTTGGCATCGGCCTAGAATGGTCCCTGTGCCATTTTTGGGTGAAGAACCAGGTAAAGGTGGGGTGGATCACCAGTCATGACTGCCTCGCTGGTGAGAATCTGAGATTGGTGGGGTAGACCGCCATTCATGGCTATCTCAATGGCAGGAATCCGAGGACCAGATGTCAAAATCTCAAAAGAAGTTTTGGCGGTGTGGTCAAACCGCATTCGAACATGGTCATGACATTGCTCAAAGTGTTTTAGATAGAGGCCCAGCATGACCATGACTGAGACCCAACGTAATTGCGACGCACACTCTGTCTAGGCTGCGTGGCAACGCCACTTCCGGGTGTGGTCACGCTAGTCAATAAAACTGGGTGCCTATTGAGATTTGGGTGTGGTCACGCCTATATTGCGACTAATTATGTCGTAGTCTCTGTTTGGCTGGCATGATCACACCACCTTTGGGCATGGTCATGTCGACCACAACCCTTTTGTGTTCTTCAGGGAGGTCTCGACATGGTCATGCCTGGTTTAGACGTGGTCATGCCTGAATCAAGCATGGTCTCGTTTGGACCCTAAACAACATGGGTTTCCAGAAAAGCTCGTTAAGGGGGTTCCGAGCCTCGATAGGCTGGTAGGATAGGGGCAAAATGCAAAGTTTATCAAAGAAGGTTCGATGTGAAATAGGCACCTCCAATCTCGAACTGGGTCATATGTTTCATTTTCGTTGTATTTTCCTTTTTTGAGCTTGACTTGTTGCCAAAAAGTTAGACCAAATTTTACTCTCATAATCCTTAATTTAAACTCCAAACAAAGCAAAGTTTGTCAAAATTCAAATCTAGACTCAAAATCGTCAAAAAAAAATAATTTTTCCGTCAAAATTCAAAACAAAACATATTTTAAGTCTAAAACAAAAATGAAATTTTAAAATCAAGACAAAACAAATTTTCTCTCCAAAGCTTAAAAGGTGCAAAGTTCGAAACTTAAAAAAAAACATTAAAACAAAATCCATATAAGTTTCAAAAGAATGCCCACTTAACAAGAAAATTTTGTTAATTTCAGTATTCATGCTAAAATTATAAAGCATAGGATTCTACTGACGTTCAGAAATCTTCAAATGACAGAAATGATGTCGCCGCCAAGGCTAATTTTCTCGTTCATTAGAGGGCTCAACTTGCCCAATGACAAGGTTTCTAGCCATCAAGGCTCGATGATGAAATTTGGAACTGGCTTCGACGAGGTCAAAATGTTATTCGGTAAGGCACCTTATGTCATTCTGAAATCAGCTGCCCCATGGGTGGAAGAGCTTGCGGCTGAGTTTGACTTGAAGAGTAAACAAGAGTTCCCTAAACTCAAGAAGTCCAAGTTTAGAGGAACTCATGCTAAGGTTGTTGTTCCTGCTACCACCAACTCAGTCGTTTCAGCAGAGAAGAGATTTATCACCACAACTGCCATAGGATTTACCATTATTGCACCTGTCATCCCTCTATCAGTTAAGGGAAAAGAGGTTCTGTGTAAGGAGGATTCAGTTGATGCTTTTGCCCCTCCATCTCTAGTATTTAAGATTGGGTTTAGTTTGAAATATGTACAACCGACCCGGACGCAAAGGAGAAAATGTAACTGGAAGATCTTGAAGGCCACGAGGGCACATGCTGTGAAGTTGGTTCTCACCAAGGCACCTCCTCTTCCGGAAGAAGCAATATTGCCTGAGACCTCACCTCTCCTCAGAGGGAGTAGGTTTCACTCATTATCCGTCACTTCTGGAGAAGTGGGTATTTACAAAAATGCTGCCACGTTACCACCGCCATCTCTCCATAATGTTTAGGGTAAGAAGAAGGAGAAATCTACACACCTGCTCGGATCTGCTCAGTTTTCAAAAGATTGGCCAAGAAAGAACAATGTTTTGTTGTCAAGATATTGGAGAGAATGGAATGTGATATGTCACCACTGATGAAGGCTGAGATTTTAAAGAAAGACAAGCATGCTAGACAGTTTCTCAAGTCAAAAGAAGTGTCATCGTCTCGCATTTTAGCCAAGTGTCGCTAGGGAGACCATAATTACTATTGCCACTGTCACTGATACCGTTACCGCTTCCTCAAAGCCCGCAGAACGCAGACCAGTCAAGTCTAGTCTTGGATCGAGAGCGCCACCTGCCACCGTGTATGAAGAACCCTCAAGGACGGGCAATGACAAGAGGTTTTTTACCACAGTATATGGTCTGCATGTTAGGGGACACCTTCTCACCATACCGATAACATCAACAAGACACTCCGTCTCAAAGCATCAGTACCGAAGGTGAAAAGGTGGAGACCTAGGGTCGTCAGACTGATACTTTCTGAAGAGCCTGATGACCAATGGATTCAAAGTCTGACACTCCGATTGTCACACATGCGCTAGAACTCGATACTTAGAGAGATGTTTACCAGGAACCCCGACTAACCTAAAGAGGATCAGAGGAAAGTCAATCAAGGTTGCATTGGAAAAGCTTAGGGCTGACATTATAGAGTTGTCCAAAGAGCAAGGAAGAGTTATCGATGACGAAGATTATGACCTGTCAGATTGTATGGAAGAAGAATTTGAGAGAGAAGCTATGAAATTTTTATTGCAAGCACCAAAAACCAAAACAAATCTCATAAAAAAGATACTCTTTAACCTTATAATAACTTTGCAAGAAAGGTTACACCTTAACCTTATAAAAATTAATAAAAAGTACCCTATGGAACAAACACTAGCAAGTAGGCAAAATAGTTAGGACACCAATAGATCTATGTGGACAATTATCTTACTGAGTTGATGGAATTAATCACTGGCCTCAAAGGATGTGGATGAGTAGCATCATAAGTAGACTTCTAGATGAGGTGAGTGACACCTTGAGACAGACAAATGAGTCTAACCCTGATTTATGTTAAATAGCCACATGTTGAGTTTATAACGATCTTGGCTATGGTCAAACATGGATTGAAATATGCTTTTATACACATGATCCTTTAAAGTCAACTTTGGGTGTTAAGACTATCTATAAAAATAATTATATATTTGTTGTAAAAAATTCAAATTAGTAAAAAATTATTGTTATAAATATATTTTTTTCTCTTTTTTAAAAAATGCATAATTATTTTTTATTGCTACTAAAGTTCCATAAATTTGATTAGGAAAATTTAGGAAAATGTAAATACATACCATTGAAAAGTAGAAGTTTTCCCTAAAGCTTTCTTTTCCCCTTGCATAAAGTTCCCTTCGGGTCCTTCAATCAAGAGCCGGCAAAAAGGGCACAACCGTTATAGTAGGCATCAAAGGACATCAAAATTTGATTGAAGTTTAAAATTGGAGAGGCCTTCAAAATTTGAGTGAAATTCACGATCAGGTTCGATAAAGAAGAGAAATAAATGATGGCATGGAATTTACCAGAGTGCAGAGCCATGTGATGAATGGGAGACGGGCAACGAGGGCTTCGTTTGAAAAGATGAGGTAGCTCCGTTCAGTTGGAGAGAATACAGACGCCTAAAAAATTTATCGTTTCAGATCACAACTGACTCCACCAATTTGTCGAGTACAGTTTAAAGAAATTGACCCAATTAAAATTGATGTTGTAGACGTTATATAAGTAAATAATAAATAATTAACTGATATGCATGTAAATCCCCAAAAATTTACATAATATTGAGATTAAAAATGAAGTCGGTTTATGGTAAGATTGTGATGGAGATGGACGGCTGAGATTAACCCATTTAATTCCAATACCAAGCCTAAAATGCCGCATTTCTCGCCGACGACTGATTTCCCTGTAAACCGGCAAGCTCGCCTCGACTCCTCTTCGGCATCTTCCCAAAAGCCCAAACTTTCGAGGTAAGTTCTCCACAGTCGGAAACCCTAGTTATCATCTTCGTTTATGTTCTGTTTTCTGGACTAAGAATCTCCCTGTCGCACTCCAGATTCCTCAAGCTTGTGATCCATTAGGTTTAGCAGAAGATGGAAATAGATCGAGAGAACATCGATAATGAGATCAAAAGGGCGCAGGAGGAGCGGCGGAATATGGAGAACTTAGCTCCTCTAGCCTCCGTCACTTTTGATTCCGACCTCTACGAGGAAAATCGGTTCGAGGGCTACGCTCGATCCATTGCTGTAAACGAGGACGATGATGAAGCGGATGGGGACGCTTCGCTTCTTGGTCGCCGCCGCATGCCCACCTACACGGCTCCGAAGTCGCTGATTGATGTTCCTCGAGCAGATGGGGACGACGATTCCGGATTCAAGAAGCCCTCCCGCATTATCGACCGTGAAGATGAGTATCGCCGCCGACGACTCGATCGTATCATCTCCCCTGCACGTAATGACCCTTTCGCATCAGGTGAGGCTACTCCTGATCCATCTGTTCGTACTTACGCTGATGTAATGAGAGAACAAGCCCTTCAACGCCAGAAGGAGGAGTTGCTGAAAGCGGCGGCCAAGAAACATGAAGAGGAGAAGAACAGCAAGGCTGCTGCAGCTGAGGCTCCTCCACCTGCTGCTGCTCAGAAGAGGAGGAACAGGTGGGATCAGTCGCAGGATTCTGACAGTTCTTCTGTTGTAAAGAAGGTGAAAGCAAGTTCTGATTGGGATGCCCCAGATTCAACTCCTGGCATCGGGAGATGGGATGCTACTCCAACTCCTGGGAGAGTTGGGGATGCAACCCCTTCGATCTCTAGGCGGAACAGGTGGGATGAGACTCCGACTCCTGGACGGCTTGCTGATTCTGATGCTACTCCAGCAGCTGCCACCCCTGGTGCAACTCCAGCTGGGATGACTTGGGATGCTACGCCGAAGCTTGGTGGGCTGGCTACCCCTACTCCCAAACGGCAAAGATCAAGATGGGACGAGACTCCGGCTACCATGGGGAGTGTCACTCCGATGCCTGGTGCTGCAACTCCTGCTGCAGCGTTTACTCCTGGTGTCACTCCCATTGGTGGGGTTGACTTGGCAACCCCAACTCCTGGAGCTATCAACCTTCGGGGACCTATGACGCCAGAGCAGTATAATTTGCTAAGGTGGGAGAGGGATATTGAGGAGAGGAACAGACCTTTGACTGATGAAGAACTTGATGCCATGTTTCCTCAAGAGGGTTACAAGATCCTTGAACCACCAGCTTCTTATGTTCCCATCAGAACTCCTGCAAGGAAGCTTCTTGCTACTCCAACTCCACTTGGTACACCACTTTATGCAATCCCTGAAGAGAACCGGGGGCAGCAGTTTGATGTCCCGAAGGAAGCACCTGGTGGGTTGCCATTCATGAAGCCAGAGGATTATCAGTACTTTGGGGCTCTTTTGAATGAGGAGGAAGAGGAGGAACTGTCACCGGAGGAGCAAAAGGAGAGGAAAATAATGAAGCTTTTGCTAAAGGTGAAGAATGGTACTCCTCCACAAAGGAAAACAGCATTGAGGCAACTCACTGATAAGGCTAGGGAATTTGGAGCAGGTCCTCTCTTCAATAAAATCCTGCCTTTGCTCATGCAACCTACGCTTGAAGACCAAGAGAGGCATCTCTTGGTGAAGGTTATTGATAGGGTGTTGTACAAGTTGGATGAGTTGGTTCGCCCCTTTGTGCACAAGATCCTTGTGGTTATTGAGCCTTTACTAATTGATGAGGACTATTATGCTCGTGTTGAGGGAAGGGAGATCATTTCTAATCTAAGCAAAGCAGCTGGTTTGGCTACAATGATTGCAGCAATGAGGCCTGATATTGATAACATAGATGAATATGTGAGGAATACAACTGCAAGGGCTTTCAGTGTGGTGGCTTCCGCTTTGGGAATTCCTGCTCTTCTACCTTTTCTGAAGGCTGTCTGCCAAAGTAAAAAGTCTTGGCAAGCACGACACACTGGTATAAAAATTGTGCAACAGATTGCAATTCTCATGGGATGTGCTGTTCTTCCACACCTAAGGTCTCTGGTTGAAATCATTGAACATGGGCTTAGTGATGAGAATCAGAAGGTCAGAACAATTACTGCCCTATCTCTTGCAGCTTTGGCAGAAGCGGCTGCTCCTTATGGTATTGAAAGTTTTGATTCAGTTCTAAAGCCACTTTGGAAGGGTATTCGTTCACACCGTGGGAAGGTGCTAGCAGCCTTTTTGAAGGCAATTGGCTTCATTATTCCCCTTATGGATGCACTTTATGCAAGTTACTACACGAAGGAAGTCATGGTCATTCTTATTCGTGAGTTCCAATCCCCTGATGAAGAAATGAAGAAGATTGTGCTGAAAGTTGTTAAGCAATGTGTAAGTACTGAAGGTGTTGAACCTGATTACATACGAAATGATATTCTTCCAGAGTTCTTCAGAAATTTTTGGGTTAGGAGGATGGCCCTGGATCGAAGAAACTACAAGCAGCTTGTGGATACTACTGTTGAAATTGCAAATAAGGTTGGTGTGGCAGATATTGTTGGAAGGATAGTGGAAGACCTTAAGGATGAGAGTGAGCCCTATCGGAGAATGGTTATGGAAACCATTGAGAAAGTGGTATCCAATTTGGGTGCTTCTGATATTGATGCCCGTCTGGAAGAGCTTCTTATTGATGGGATACTTTATGCATTCCAAGAACAGACCAGTGATGATGCAAATGTCATGCTTAATGGATTTGGTGCAGTCGTGAATGCTCTTGGTCAGAGAGTGAAGCCTTACCTTCCTCAAATCTGTGGAACAATCAAATGGAGATTGAATAACAAGAGCGCAAAAGTGAGGCAGCAAGCAGCTGACCTTATTTCACGGATTGCAGTTGTCATGAAACAGTGTCATGAAGAGCAGTTGATGGGCCATTTAGGTGTTGTTTTATATGAGTATCTTGGAGAAGAATACCCTGAGGTTTTAGGTTCTATTTTGGGAGCACTAAAGGCAATAGTTAATGTTATAGGTATGACCAAGATGACTCCTCCCATCAAAGACCTGCTTCCTCGGCTGACTCCTATTCTGAAGAACAGACATGAAAAGGTTCAGGAGAACTGTATTGATCTTGTTGGCAGAATTGCTGATCGCGGCGCTGAGTTTGTTCCTGCTAGAGAGTGGATGAGGATATGTTTTGAGCTGCTTGATATGCTGAAGGCTCATAAGAAAGGCATCAGGAGAGCTACAGTGAACACATTTGGGTACATTGCAAAAGCTATTGGACCACAGGACGTTTTGGCAACTTTATTAAACAATTTGAAAGTGCAAGAGCGTCAAAATCGTGTTTGCACAACAGTTGCAATTGCTATAGTTGCTGAAACCTGCTCCCCATTCACTGTTCTCCCTGCCCTTATGAATGAATACCGTGTGCCAGAATTGAATGTACAAAATGGAGTCTTAAAATCTCTTTCCTTTCTTTTTGAGTACATTGGAGAGATGGGAAAGGATTACATTTATGCAGTGACACCATTACTGGAAGATGCTTTGATGGATAGGGATCTGGTTCATAGACAAACTGCTGCTTCAGCTGTAAAGCACATGGCATTGGGTGTTGCTGGTTTGGGTTGTGAGGATGCATTGGTCCATCTGATGAACTATGTGTGGCCTAATATATTTGAAACTTCTCCACATGTCATAAATGCTGTAATGGAGGCTATTGAAGGAATGAGAGTTGCCTTAGGAGCTGCAGTCGTCCTGAACTATTGCCTCCAAGGCTTGTTCCATCCAGCAAGGAAGGTCCGTGAGGTATACTGGAAGATTTACAACTCACTTTATATTGGAGCTCAGGATACACTTGTTGCTGCTTACCCAGTGCTGGCGGATGAGGAGAATAACATCTATAGCAGGCCCGAGTTGATGATGTTCGTATGACACCTTAAGCTTGCATAGGGGCGCTTTTACTTGAGATGAACTTTGTTCTAACTGTTTGCTTATATAAATGGAGTTTGTTAAAAAGTTCTAACTGTTTGCTTATATAAATGGAGTTTGTTAAAAAAAAATTTTTTTTCTGCCACATACTCTTTAATTTATCATTAAGTGTGTTTGAACAAATCTTCAAGTCTAGTAAGTTAGCTTTAGTTTTATGGTTCAATGTTAAGTTGGTGTTTGAGCTCTATAGATCAGAATCTTCAGATAAATATAAAACGATATTTCTTGTATATTTCGTATTTTCTAATAGATCTATAACCTCTACTTGCTATCTTTTCCAATTTGCTGTGTTTGTTACAGTTTAGCTCCATTTGGCCTAATTTCATTTTTTGATCTCTGCTGGTTGGCTTTGATATATTATTATTTCTTTTCTGTTTAGGATGCTTATCATTTGAAACTTTTGAATATGTTCACTTTTACTAATTAATTAATGGTCAATTTTGTCATCAGCATTATCATTTGCCTCATTCTAGCTATTTGTGCTGCCTTATGAATTTTGCAGTTTTATTTTCCTTCTGAGTGTTCATGTGGTTTTTCATTCCAATTTTTTTCTGTAAATTTATCTGCTCATTAATGAGTTTATTCCTAGCACTCAAGCCAATTTCACCATCTTATCATTAATGTATGCTACTTGTATGCTTTAATATCTGTAATCTTTACTTTTGTTTACATTCATTATAACATTCTTATGTTTGCCGCACTTAGTTTGGTTATCAGTGACATTCAGTTACTCAAATTTGAATCCATTTAACATTGTGAGCTAAATTGAAGTTCTCAAATTGATACAGGACCCTTTTTAATTAAAGGTTCAAATATAATTAAGCATTTCTTTCCTAACTTATGAT